TGCGATTTTAAAGTTAATATTAATAGTATAAAAAGCCATGGTGGAGGTAGCCGTAACTTAAAAAATCAATATTGTTATTCAATTGTTAATAATGGCGATAACTAAAGAGCATATTCGATATTCCATCCACTTAGCATTTTATCTAAAAAAAATGCTACTGAAGCTGCCAAAATAATTTATACTGCATACGGTGATAATGCTGTAAGTCACACAACATGTAAAAATTGGTAAAACATTTTGCGCCAGAAATTTTGATTTGAAAGACCAACCACGATTTCTGGACGAACTGTGAATTAGTTTGAATCAGACGAACTGCCAGGCATTATTGAATAAAAACTCAGCGCAAACTCAAAAAATACTGGCGAAATAGCTGGGATTGAGTTTTTTTGTATGTTATTCAAACAGAAATTGAATATTAAAAAAAAAAGCAAAGAACTTTCTACTACACTTAAGAGGATGCTAAAAGGTCGAAATTAATGACACATTACAGTTTAATAAATTTCTCCGAATTGACTGAACAAAATTGAAAATCCTTTCACAGGATTGAAATAAACATAAAATTGTGATGTGAAACGGACGAATTTGTAGTAAAAGAAGAAAAAAAATTAAAAAACAGCTATCACCTGACTTAAACATTTTATTAGTGTAAAAGTTCTGTAGCTCACATATACAAAATGCTTACGTCTCACACAATAATTACGAACGAATAATACAAAGCCTTTTGAGCTACGATTGAAAGTGTAGAAAAAAAGATATTCACTAAACTGTAATTTATGACAATTCGTACGTTTAGCTAAAATACAGAATCGTAAAGACAGCAAAAATTGCGTCTAGCAGTAAGTGTCGGATTTTGCAAGAGATGGCATTTCATTAAGTTGAATAAGGACAAAGCACGTGTTTGAGCAAGACAGAAGATATTGTAAGAACTAAGAAGTTCATTTAGACATATCCATTGACATTGAAGAATCTGTTTTATCAACTTCGTGCAAATTTTTCCGACCTTTCAGCATCCTCTTAATATATTATATATATACATACACACACATTATATGTATATATTCTTATTAAATATAAAATGTATACATGCGAAAAATAATAGTTTTAAAAAAATATACAACTTCGTACAAGATTAAAAAGTTTTGTGAGCGTGCAAGATTAAAATGAAATGTCAGATAAACAGGTAACAAATGCATGCTTTCATAGCACCTTTCTCGTTGTCGTTGTCGACGCAGTAGTTGTCGACATAGTCAGCGTCTCCTCAACCGAAAACGTCTCCGCCTCGCTACAAGGATCTACTTCATCTCCGCATTGCCTGCAAAAGCACGTACAAAATTTCCTTTCGACTTTATTGTCTATATGCTATTAAACTACGATTCGCAAAGACGCAAATATTTGAGGAATATCATTATCTCGCAGCTCTGACAACATTGATCGATCGCTGCTTGTGGATGAGGCAGGAAATCTCACGGCTCAAAAATTTCACAACAAAAATTCACGATTCAAAAAGTATCTTTATCAAAAGTATAAAGTACCGATAAAACATTTTATAAATATAGAATGTGCATTGTGCAAATCACTAAATCAAAAGATAATTAATTGCTAACTTGGCGAAATTCTTTGTTTCAGATATACAAGAATGGTATGTGTGTATACAAATAAGGTAACCAGACCCAATATGAGCCTATACGCAAAATGGCCAACTGGCTGTTTGTAAGTAATTACACGGAGAATTTAATAGAGAGCACTAGTACGGTGTGAAGGTAGTCCGTGTAGCTCGATTGCGTCATTTAGTAGATCATATAATTCATTCTGTTCGTGTCAATACAAAAAGATAAAAACGTCGTGGTCGCGATGTATAAATTTCGTAGGTACGTAATTGCTTTGTATCATTATTAAAACATGATTATCAATTTTTGTAGTTTATGTTATTTTAGCTCTGTGTTCATATTTTATAAGACTATAGTTTAGTTTATATTTTTGTCACAACGTTTTATTTATAATCAAAGAAAAGTAACACACAGTGTCAGTATAATTCTTTGTTATAGAACCAATATGGCCAACCTTGGCCATTGAATTCACACTTCCTTGCAAACACCGATTAACAATAACATAAATTCAGATTTGATAATCTCAGTTATAATTTTCAATTTAAAACTTACTAGAAAGAGAATAAAAAATAAAATATTTGATTATGTTTTTTATTCAACAAGATATCTGAAGAAAATAGATTTTTTCTTTTATGTAGCAATATATACCTATATATATGTGCAATAAATTTATAAATGTTTAAAAACAATGTTATCTTACTTTATTTTCAATCACTCAAAAAAAAAATTCTATTTATAAAGTAAAATTTTTCCTAATCCCATATTCTAATTAGCAAAAACTTTTACAGAAAGAGTATTTCTCTTCCAATAAAGTGAATTTCCAATAAAGTGAATACTGTTCATCTAACATTTATTAGATATTATTATTTTTTCAGTTTTCTTCTTGTATTAAGAGGAATATGTTTATTTCAAGCGGAATGCCCTCTTACATGCGATACGAGTAACACGAAAAGCAATGTGTTTCGCTGCGTTCTGCCACGATTGACGATTGAAGTGTTGCGCTGCATTTGCGAAAACATAGACGCAGTAATTGAGCGGATTCCACTAATATTAAAATTATTTTTTTTTTGGGCGATATTTTTATTATGAAAAAGAGAGAACATATATGACAGTCATAACTCATATTGGATACATATGTACCAGTATGAGCGGAATGCCACTTTAAAAAAAAATCTTTACTGCGCCTATATAAATATTTGAAAAGGTTTCATATTTTTTACTAACGTTTAGAAATGTTCCTCGTTTAGAATGTGACCATTAATTTTTTATTTTGGACTCACAGTAAAAAATTAGAAAAATTCGCAAAGCTTCATTAAGCCCCCATTGGGGCATATTGGGTCCGGTTACTTTATACGTATATATATATGATTTCTTAGAAACAACGTTTACAACTTAAATGTGTTTTATGATATTTATTCAAGATATTATTTAACTGTAATAGTTCAATGTATAAGATAATCGAAATGTTGACGTACTTTTAGTGAGTATTCGTAAACTCAATTGTTTGAAACGTTGATAATAAAACGGATAAAGATACTCACTCTTCGACGCGATGAGACAAAGCGATATCCAACTCCGCCGGATGAGTATCCATCATGTGCTGGTATACTTCGTCCAATAGTGCCGCTGGTACGGTGAACAATGTCGACGTGTGTTCCAGAAGTGTTCGCACCACATTTATCACATCTATTCTCTCCTCGGCCCTTTCCGTTGAGACCTCCGACCTCATTTGACCGGGTTTCACGCAGTGCAGAATATTTGGCGCAAATACCTGGAATACGTGCGATCGGGCGTGTTTGATTTGTTCATCAGCACCAGTCTGGTATATCAGCTCCTAATTTAACTTGATTTTTTTTTTTCGAAACGGTCACAATGATTGACGGTAGCCGAGAGCGCATATCGGCTATCGAATTCATTAATCACGTGTTTCGGCACGAATGTTCGTCATAATTATATAACAATAGTATTGACATTTACAGAATCTTACAATAACTATGAAAACAGAGTTAAAATTTATTCTTGTTAAGAATTTTCTTAATTAATGTTAACTCGACTGCTTTGTTTTTAATAGAGAGAATATTCGTTTGGAATTCCGTTGCGGCATATTTCGACTATTAAAGAATTTTTATTAAATATTTCAGCCAAGAGAAACAGGGGAGAGAGAGTGGAGGAGGGAGGAAAAGAGGAAGAGGAGGTGGGGGGAGGAGGAGGAGGAGGAGAAGGAGAGTAGAATCATCGAAGCGCAATGCGCAATCTAACGGAATAAACTATCGGAAAGAAATCAAAGTTGGAAAATGTGGTACTGACAGTCGCGAGATTCGTCGTGTCCATTTTATTCCCAGAGATCCACTCTCCTGTCTCGTCCTTTTGGTCCTCGCTGTTCGCCGCAACGACGATCAAAAAGTTCAGAAGTGCCCAAAGAGTTTCGCGATTGGGCGTGGGTAGAAGTTGTATAAGATGCTGCAAAGCTTCCTGCTGCAGTCGCCTGTTTCTGATCTCTGAAAAATATTTGTATAACTCGCTTATCACGCTCTCCCGCCGAAACGCGAAAATTGGAAGATTCATAATTGGAATTGCAAAGTATAAAAAAAGGGATTAGGATTGATATCTTAGCACGCAAGCGGATTTTAAATTGGCAATGCGAAATTTATGTTGTATTGAATTATACCGAGAATGAAAAAGATAAGAAAGTATAAATAATGCTCTTCAGCGGCTTATTAGATATTGAATTAAAACCTGATTCTTGCTTACTTTGAGTGTGTACGAAGGCCTGATATAGATCCCTGCAAAGCAAAGGATCCGGCAGATCACGGAAATATTCCTTCAAGAGGGTAGCTACGTCATGGGGACATTGATCGGCACCTATCTTTGTCTCCCGACCGCAATCAAAATCTTCTCTTAACTGAAATAATTATGAAAACGTCGTGCTTAAGATTTGTATGCAAGATATACTTTTTTCAGAAGAAATTCTGCTAACACCAAAAATGTAATACAGTTAGAATTACTTTAAACAAAAATAGATATACTAGTCTTTATATCGTCGAAGTAATTGATTCTCCGTTTGATGAATATTTAATTTCCATCGATAATTGTAATGGAGCATTAGGAAGACATTAAGATAAAATCCGATATCATATGCTGATTAAAGTCTAAAGAAAATATATCTGAAAGAATTGCCGATTTCCAATTTAAGCTCACATTAACCCAGAAACAGTGACTGTGTTATCAAACACATTTGGTTTTTGTTAATAAAAATGTTGAATTTTAATGTAAATTTATATACAGTACTATGTGTACAATTTATATACACTTTTCTTTGTCTTTTTTTAATGTAACCGTGAAAATTATTGTACTTAAAGAACATTAAGAAACTTAAAAAAATAATAATTGCACGTTGCAGTGTATAAAAATAAATAAACTTGAATTATCTTGTAATATTTTTCTTGTTAAGGAAAATCGTATCATATCCTCAATAGTTATCCTCAATATTTTTTCTGAGATGAGGTAGATATTAAAGTGCTCTTATTAAGGAAAAACATCATACCTGCCTCACCCTTTTTTTCGAGGGTGACACGCGAAACACGCCTAGCGTCCGGAGACCGGTGGCCTCGAGGTGCCTAATGCATTGCCTCACGATACCTGGTACCACGTCCCACTCACTGGCGAGACATCCTCCGCCACTGTCACTCAGCTCGAGCCCTCCGGAATCGCTTCCTGTAAGAGCACCACCTTTCGATGACAGGGACTCGCAGGAACCTCCCTAATTCAATCAAAGAAAATGTCATTTGTATAAGAGCGTAAATAGATAGAAATAAAAGGTACAAGAGAAAGAACGGAAATTGAGGGTCTGCAGAGAAAGAGAGAGAGAGAGAGAAGGGGAAGGAAAAGGACAGATACATTATTTTTCCAATATAACATAAAAGACCTTAAATATATGTCTCTGATGTATGTATAATTTATTTTCAAATTACATATTCAAACTATAGATTATCCAATTCAATGTATCAGTTTTGAAATTAAACGTCCAGCTTCATGTATCAGCGACACGAGAAGTGCTGTCTACCTCTTTATTTAACAGCACGAAAATTTATTTTCAGACAACATTTGAACTAAACTATTATTATAAATTTGAAACATCAGTCTTGAATGCGATCTATAAAAAAATAAACGTTCAACCTGATGTATCAGGAACACAAGAGGTGTTGTCTACCTCCTTATTTAATAGCACGCAAATTTATTTTGAAACTCTAGGCAATATTTAAACTAGACTAGATCGAATTCGAAACATCAGTCTTGAAAGTGATTTAAAAAATTAAATAAAACGTTCAATTTCTCATCAGGAACACGAGATGTATTGCCTATCTCCTCATTTACTGACACGCCAATTTATTTACACAAATAATGGAATGTATTTTTACACGTATCGTGTGAGAGTATATCCCATATTCAAGTGCTTTAGTGGATGGATTGTTACCATCATTTGAGAACGATCAAATAAAATCTCTCGTAAAACTGAGAGTTTCTAATTAATCTGCAGTTAAAATTAGCGATCTCGTTTTCCTTCTATTTGCGTCTCTGATCTATGATGTCACCTCGGATGCGGGAGACGCACGTGACGTCGGCACGAGAATTCTACATCGTCGTGTCATAGACAATCGACCAATTGTGTTAAACATGATTTGGCGCAAGGATGCCAAGAAAAACGATGATAGAGATATATTAATTAAATTTTTGACGATATTTTTTAAATTTAAAATATTTAAACTTTTTTTTACAAAATCGTAAAATAAGATAAAATCATAATTTTACCATGTATCTTCATATTATCGAACAAAGAGACAAAATAAAATTATTTTAATACAAAATATAATTTTAATTTATTTCTAATTAAAATAATTTGTTTTGTCAAGCTTTTTTTATATAAAATTTTATGAGAACAATATTATGTTATGTCACTTTGTTTGTAAGTATTATGTCTATGTTGTTATGTTAAATTAATTAAATTATATATGACGTTATTTAATAGCGCAACTTTCTACACAAGTAAGAATTAGTTATAAAAGCTTTGGTATTATTGACACCATAAAACTCTCTTTTTCCGCTGTAGATTAATGTCTTTTATCGACTAGCCGGAAGTAAACCGCAACGGATGTATGCGGGGGCGGTAGAGATATTATAAAATATATCGGTGCTATTTCTGCCGATGAAGCATAGATATTTCGGGTCCCGTGAACAGCTGATTTAGCTCTTGGTTGTAAAAATTTCAAGTGCAAGCGACATATCAATTTCTGGTTACGTTGCACACTCATTTATTATCATGCTCAATTATCTCGACTTAATCGATACAAAATAATTTTTTTTATGCACTATATATAATTCTAAGATTATATTGAAGCATCATTATTTGGTGAAAACTTAAAAAAAAAACAAATATTTTATTTCTTTTTATATTTTTTAAAATTCTCTCTCTCTCTTCCTGCAATTCTAAAAAAAATTATTTTGTTTTTATTTTTTTACTATTTTTTTGCCTCAACTGACGCTATATTGTTATTTTTTCTTTAATGTATTTTGTTTTGTTTATTTGATTGTATTACTCTGAAAGAGATTTAATGAGATTTAAATGATTTTTATGCGAATTACTTTTTACTATATTTAAAATTACAGCTTATAACGTTTTGTTTTTCACTCTTTGTTGTTTAACATTTATGATTGATTCAATTATTAAGCTTATGATTAGAATGAACTTTCCTTCAGTTAGATACTAACGTAACTGAAGGAAATAGATTCGTATTAATATTAAAGAAAGGTCTATTTCCTACATGCAATTTTGTCCATGTATACATGCACAATTATTATTTCATTCACATATCTCTAACTTATTTAACTTCAGTTTTTTTATTTTCGTCATATACTTAATAAATAAGCATTAAATTAAATAAACATTAAATAAATATATGGAAAGTACAGACCATCGCTTTAACACTGATTCTATTGTATATTTTAATTGTGCTATTTTATATTGACTTCAGTTTATAAATGTTTTTATCTATTTAATGTGTAATTATTCCAGTCCTTGTGAGTTTCTTGTTTCTTTTGTTAGTTTAATTCTAAACGATTGAAATAAGTTTTAGCTGTTAAATTAAGGAGGTAATGTTATTCGTAGACCTCACTTAGTCTTCTTATTTTGATGCAGTTTTACTGGATACTATGATGATATAACTATCGATCAAGCATCAATTGCATTTATATACTGAGAAAAAAAATTACTTGAAACAAATAAATACGTTTCAGATACCCCTCAAAAAAATAATTTCTTGAAGTAAGTAAAATTTTTTTGTTTTAAGAAATTTTTTTCTCAGTGCAAACACTTTTACTTAAAATAAAAAAATTTTACTTGCTTCAAGAAAATTATTTCTTTGAGGGGTACCTGAAACATATTTATTTGTTTTAAGTATTTTTTTTTCTCAGTGTACGTACTACTGAGGATAATAAAAAATTTGTAGGATGGTCGAAACGTTTAAATACAGATACTTAACTGCATTTTAATTAATTTAAAAACTTGTTGTGTAATAATTACCGTACCAACTCCTATTACATATTAGCCCGTTTACATTTTAATTGTTGTTAAATAAACATATAAGTGAAGAAAATTACTTGGAATAAACTGGAAAATAAATATTTTATTTTATATATGTATGTATTTTTAATCATAGAGTTATACCTATAACGTATATGCGCGTTAGATGATCTTATATTTCATGGATATAAAAATAAAAAAAAATATCACGGGCTGTCCTATATAGGCCAAGTTCACAGTACCGATACAATTTTGTTACTAATTACTGTTAGCGTAATGATCCTAATTGCTAATTAGATCATTGCAGCGAAGACTTCTTCAAATGCCCGACAAAAATGAGACTGGAAAAACAACTGTAACTCAATTTTCAACGAATACATCTAATTGACAACTACGAATACGCACTTATTTTATATTTCACTTTATTTCTAAAACGCGTCATTGATTTACCAAGCGGATTTCTTACGTCTAATGTGATGATAATGAGACGAGATTTCGAGGAAGTTAAAGCGTTCTCTGCAATTTTTTCGCGTGATCGATTTACATATCGCTCTGCGATACAAATCTATTTTACACATTGAATCATAAATGTGGTTAAAAAAAGAACTCGGAAAGTTATTATATAGCTATTTTTGATATTATTTATTATCATTATTCTAATGCATTATCGTAGATTATGATCTATAATTTTATATCGAGGTCAATCGTTGATACGCATAAAATATTGAGAAGAGTCGGATCATGTAAATAGAGATGTCAACCAACGGCGTAAAATAACGATGAACGCTTTTTCTCTAACAAAATAAAAAAAAAATTTATTTTCTACTTAGGTGGCGACATTTCTGACATCAAAATATTAATTGAAAGTATTATTTAATTGAAAAACTGAAGTCTATCTTGCCCAGAAAAAGAAAAAGTAAAAATTAAAATAAAACACAATTTTTATGTCAAAGATTTTTATAAAATTAAAGATAAGCAAAAAAATATTTTTCAATGTGCTTAAAAATAAACATTTAATTTAATTCTAAAGACTCTGAGATAACAAATCAAATGAAATAAAATGTGCCAATAAGTTGTGATATGTAAAACTAAAACGAAAAATAAAATCGAATAAAATAGAAGGTGTATAGAAAAAAATAAATTAGAATATAAATATAATGTAAAATAAAATAGAAGAATTAGTTAACGTTGACTATACCTTGTTAACTAAACCATACCTTGTTAACTAATTCCTCTATTTTATTTTACTTTATATTTATTTTCTAATTTATTTCTTTTCTATACACCTTCTATTTTATACAATTTTATTTTTCAATCGTTTTAGTTTTACATATCAAAACTTCTTCGTTTTTAATTATTGACTATTAGAGCTTTGACGTAACAATGGTCAGTAGAAGACTTCCTTGTATAAAATTTAGCGGGCGTTACTTTCGCATACTTTTCATATTATTATCGGACTCGTTGCTGGGTTTAGACC